ATTACAGTTACACACACGATTAAGGGAGCCCACTAATCAGAGTACCGTTGCGGCCGCACGAAAAAGCGCGTAGACAAAAGGCGCCGCGCGGCAAGAAAAATCCTAATTACTAAATTCCAAAATTCCTCTCTAATACGAAAAAGCAAAAAGCACAAGCTTCAGAAGGAAAATCCGAAATTCCGAGAGCCATCGGGGGCTCGACAAAATTCGAAAAAGATTTGAAAGGAAATTCAAAAAGAACGAAGCAATTTCCCGCGCGATGTCCGCGCCCAAAAGATCGAAATCGACCCGAAAGAAACGACGTCAACATTTATTAATGGCGCGCGCGCGTGACGTCGCGTCCGACAACCATCCGACCAATCAATCAATCGGTCGTCCCAAGACACACCTGACTCCGAACCCAGTCATCCGATACGGAGCGACGAAAAAGGACGAAAAAGCGAGGACACTGATGCAATTCTCCACCGAGCCCGATCTCCCGTAATTGGCCCAATCTTCCCAGCTTAGGACCCCTCTTTGCAACCGCACAGAAAATCGTGCGTTACAGGAAGTGGTTCGTCACAACCCTATGGTTGTGTATGTGTGTATGTACTCTGTAACATAGATGTGTGCCCGTGGGCTATATATATGGTTTTGGTATGCTGCTCCCAACCATGGAGCATCTGCGAAGTGAGTACTGAGTACTGGTGAGAGGTGGAGGTGCTCCTACCACCTCCACTAGTACATGTATGTGTGTGTGTACCTTGAGCTATACATATGTATGTATGGTATATGTGTATGGATTGTGCTATCTGGGGTAGTATTGTATCTGTATGTAGTAGAGACAGGTCTATCTGGGCAGGATCCCCCCAAAGTCCGGAACCATTGTGACCCACAGTGTGAAACTGGAGGGTTCTACCACTCGTACTACCGTGGGAAGTGGATATAATGTGTGTAGCGTCTGGACTGGGGGAGATCATCAGGGCGACCAAAGCCAACAACAACCAGCAACCAAGGTGAAGACTAGACCAGCATACAACACCCATGGACTGACCCCCTGGGTGGTGCGCAGGCAGTACCTGTAATAGTAACCATGCGTCAGCCCAGGGAAGTGTGTGTCCAGCCGTGCGTCATTCTAACGCCCTGCCGGTGTCCATCTGCGAGGCTGCGGAGTTTTGAACCCACAACCTCATACCACAGTGCGCATTTCCAACGAGGCTGCGGAGTTTTGAACCCACAACCCTATACCACAATGCGCATTTCCAACCGGTGCTCTAACCACTGAGCTACATCAAAACACAGAGAAAGGTAGTGGTGGTTTAAAGGAAAATTTGTTGAAATACCCCTAGAAGTTGGGTTATTTCCTTAGATACCCCTAAAACACAGAGATATGCAGAAATGCCCTCGACTTTTGCATCTGCCCCTGTCCTGGTCATAGGCAACTTCTCCGTATGCCGTAGCCCCAGGCCAGAGGGGCCAAAGCATTTTTCCTGCCATCTGCAGGGTGCAACAGCCAGAAATATCAGGGCATATAGAGACGTTGCCAAGGGCCCAGTAGGGGTATATGCAAAAGATGACAGGTCCAATTGGCAAGCTGGGTATTTTGCAACGTTTCGCAATTGTCATAGGGGCATTTTGCCATATTACCTGTCTAATCCGGGGCAAGGTCCCACTTGCGCAAATTAGGAGATTTCGGCCTTTGATCTTTGCTATCTACGGCCAGTATCTCTTAATTCTTGCAAGTGGGACCTAGCCCCCGGACAGGATGGCCTTTCAGGCCTTTTTTATTGTTGTCATTATAGTATTTCGGGTGAACCCTGTAGCAGCCACATCCGTACTCAAGCCTCTATCGACGGAACATGGGGGAGCTTCACCCACCGTCAGGTGGGATACCTGCTACAGCAGGTGGGCGATAATGGCCCCGGGTCGACCGGTAGCATCAGGACTGAACTTCTTCAGTGGGCCAGTCGCTGTGCATCCCACCCCTCCGGTCCCCTTCCCCTATGAGCATTAGCAGTCTCTGCTCAATGCCACTCCGGGGGACCAACAGCATATCTCTAGGTGGCGGACCCCGAGCTTTTGCCCAGGAAGGTACGTGAGGGGAATGGGGATTTGAACCCAAGACCTTGTGAATGCCACTTGCCTGCCTTAAGAACTGAGCTCGGCCGAGCTGGATCCGTCCTTCCTTTCCCCCCCCTCTCTGTCACGCGCTGCCTATTATTAATTGGTAATACAAAAAGAAAAGCAAAGGACGGAAAAGGAAAAAAAGAAAAACGAAACGCGAAAAAAAAAAAAACAATCATTCCCACACCCGTTATAAACCGCAATCAATAGACTATTCTCTCTCTCTCTCTCTCTCTCTCTCTCTCTCTCTCTCTCTCTCTCTCTCTCTCTCTCTCTCTCTCTCTCCTCTTTTTTTCTTGTTGAAAGGCTTCTCTCTCTCTCTATATATATATAACCACAGCCGGGGTTACGGTGGATTATCACTTACAGTGTAATCAGTTAGGGGATTCTGCAGACTGTCGAGGGTTCAGCCTCCTGATGAGTCGGTGAAACTCCGACGAAACAGTTTGCCACAGCCCCTCGTTTGTTGTCCTCTTCTCCCTCTCTGCCTACAGTTTACCGGGCAGCTCTGTTTGACTATATATATAGGGTTACCTGACCGAACGTTCAGGGGCCCCCGGGCTGGCCCCCGAACGTTCGGGCGTTCACGGTCCCGTTCGGGGGCCGAACACGTCCAGGTTCGCCCCCGCCAAAAAATATTTCGAGGCCTAAAAATACATATTTTTTTCTGAATTTGTTTTTGTGAGTTCTCTATGATGTAACCTACACACCTATAAATTTTGAAGCCATTCTGCTAAGTTAAAAAAAAACATTAAAAATCGTCAAAGATGGGGGTGTCAAAACGTGCTCGCCCACTCACTATTTTGTTTTTTTTCACTTTTAACTTTTTGTTTTCACTTTATTTCGGGGCCTAAAAAAAATTATTATTTTTTGAAAAAAATTTAATGAGTTATTGATTATGCAAACTACATATCTGTAAATTTTCAGGGCATTTGTCAATGCTAAAAAAAAATAAAAATCGGCAAAGATGGCGGTGTCGAAAAGGTGCTGGCACACTCACTCATTTTAATTGTCTTTTTAGTTTTTCTTATTTTTATCATAGTGTTTATTTTCTGTATTGGATTTGTAATTCAAATTTGGTAAAGAATTTGGATGTAATGCCCAGGCAAATGTTGTTTAGTTTATGTTTCTCCATAACATAGTTTTTTTTGGAATTTTTTGAAAACTTTTGTGTTTTTTTTTTTTTTTTTTTTCGGTCCGCGTTCGGCCCGAAGGGCGGAACGCCTCCTGAAGGGGTCCCGTATCATATATATATTTACCGGGCAGTTCTATTTGACGATATATATATATTCCTAGGTTACCAGATCGGACGTCCGGGACCCCCCTGACCGTCCGGGGTTGTCCGATCGGACAACTGGTCAGACGTCCCCCCCGGACAGTCTGTCCGAAGCCCGAA